ACAATGTAATATGACTTTAAACAACATACCATACTGACTTCATGACAATGTAATATGACTAAACGACATACCATACTGACTTCATAACAATGTAATATGACTAAACGACATACTATACGGACTCTATAACTGACTTTTTGTGACATCCTACACTTTCAATTCAATTCATTTTTGTATTGCCAAAAATTACAAATTTGCCTCAGAGGGCTTTACAAAATGTACACATTTGATATCCTCTTGTCCCGGAACCCTCACATTGGAACCAAGACCAGGTCTAGGTATAACCCGGATACACAGCAACCTGTGAGGTGAGAATACACAGAGACTCTGGTGAAGAAGCAGGTCAATAATGTGCGTTAATGGTATCGATAATATAAAATTAGTAATGTGAGTAATAATAAAAAATAATATTATCAGTGGGAGTCAGCAGGGCCATGGTGGGAGGAAGGACCAGGGTCCAGATGAAACCACAATCCACGGAACCTGTGAGGAGAGAAGCACAAAGACTAAAGAAGCAAAGTTAGTAATCAGCATGTTTGCAGTTTAGTGAGCTGGTTGGTTTCATCTGGTTTGATCGATATATATAATTGAGTATCATCTGCATAACAAGTTTACAAGTGTTTTCTGATAATATTGCCTAAAGGAAGCATATATAAGGTGAACAAGATTGGTCCAAGCACAGAACCTTGTGGAACTCCATAACTGACGTTGGTCTTCATCGAGGCTTCATCCTTTACAAACTGAGATCGATCCGATAAATAGGATCCAAACCAGTTCATTGCGGTTCTTTTGATGCCAATATAATGTTCTAGTCTCTGCAACAGGATGTAGTGGTCTATAGTGTCGAACGCAGCACTAATGTCTAACAGGATAAGAACAGAGACTAGTCCTTTGTCTGATGCAGTTAGAAGGTCATTAGTTATTTTCACAAGAGCTGTCTCTGTGCTTTGATGCTTTCTAAATCCTGACTGAAAATCCTCAAATAAACTATTGTTACGTAGAAAGTCACACAACTGATTTCTCAAGGATCTTAGAGGAAGGGAGGGTTAGAAATCGGTCTATAGTTAGTCATACTATACTATGTTTACCTTCTCCAATAACAAGCAAGCATCTTGAAATAACTAGTATGTAAAGTAACGTAGTATCTCATACATTTGAAACTTTTTCTGAGAAACTAAGTCATCAACATTTGCAGGATCCTTTTTTTTATCTAATTTTTTCGCAGCAGAAAGAATTGTTTTCCATAAAATGTGATTTAAAAAGCCCTCTCTGGGCTTCCGTAGCACCCCTTCAGGGTCAGTGAAGACAAACAGAGGAAACTTCTTTTTTAAGGTTTATTACAAAACGCAAGACAAAACATGTCAACTGGGGTTTTCATTCTATTGTTAAACACGACACGATGACGAACAACCTTCTACCTGCAGGTGAAGCTCCGCTGGAAACCAATCAAACAAAGTACGGAGGACAAGAAGAGAAGCTGAGGAGCATCTTCTACAGGAGGCTCGTAGTGCGACACACGTATAAATAGTTTCACCATTAAATTAAATTAAATCCAATTCACACAGTAAAAGGTTGTTTTCACAAACTCAAAGTGTCTTCTGCCGTCAGACGGCTTGGGGGGGGGGGGAAAGACCTGGTCCCTGATTGGTCCAAGACACCCGTCTTTAAATAACTTCACATACGTCTGTTTTATTCTGGATTCTTTTGTCTCTTTAAGGAGGCTTTAACTTTGAAAAGCTGGACTTCCTGTCTGCCCGATGACGACGAAGAACAACGAAGGTGGCGGTGGTGTTGCTACGGTAACGAGGGCAGTTTTTGTCTTTTTTACTTGTCAGTCACATTTAAATATTTATATATTACAACATTGTTCCAAATTCATAAATAAGAAGTGCAGTTCACCCTTCGACCTCCACAACACCGCCGAAAAACTACAAACATGGCCGACTAGCTTCATGCAAACGTTAATGTGGAGGAAACGCCGGCTCGACCAATTGCAGCGCTGCACCGGCAAAGAACTTCAGCCAATCACAACCAGTCTGGGAGGAAAGAACATAAACCTGAACCACATCAGACCTGAACCATATCAGACCTGAACCTGCACAAAGTTCTTCAGAGGATCAATTTCCCAGAATGCACTGCGTGCTGTGTTGAATGAGTCAGCTATAAAGTTGGCCTCCACTCTGACATTGAATGTCTACTTCATTCGGGTAACGGGGCTGATGGGAAATTAGCCGACAGTAGTTCCCAGCTGTCTGCCCAGGTGGCTGATGGGAAATGGAGTGTAGAGGCGGCAGAATGAAAGTGTCCATGTGCAACCTGACAGACAGGTGGAGGGGCGGGGCGAAGGGCGGGGCTTGGGTAACACTTTAAATCGAATCCCATCCTTAAGAGCTAACGGTCTGGTACTACCATATATGGAGATGTCCTGCTGATATCTACACCAGAGAAGAACCAGGTCCAGTTCACAAAACCTGGCAGCGCAGAATCTGTCTCCAACTGGTCCAGAACTGGTGGAGAACTGGTCCAGAACCTTTTAAATTAGAACTTTTCCAGAACTGGCCCCAAACCAGTCCAGAACCAGTCAGTGCTGATTCAGAACCAACCCAGAACAGGTCGAAAAAAACGATCCGAACCGTCACTCGGAGTCAGACTCCAGCGGAGCGGTTTCGTCTAGGACGACCCTCTTCCGGCGCTTGGCGGCGGCGGCGGCCCGTTGCTCCTCCTCCAGATGGGCCTTCTTGTGGCGGGAGAAGCTGGACGAGTGCATGAAGGTCTTGTTGCAGGCCGCGCAGGTGTAGGTCTTGGTCTTGGCGGGGAGTCCGGTCTTGACATGGATCTGCTTCTGGTGGTGCTGCTGCAGCTTCCCACCGCTAGCACGGTGGGTCTGCTGGTGCCGAGCCAGACTGGAGGCGTGGCTAAACCTCTTCCCACACTGGCTGCACCCGTGTCGACCGGCTCCTCCTCCTCCTCCTCCTCCTCCTCCTCCTCCCACCTCCTCTTCAGAGATGGTGGAGGCTCGTTTGCCGGCCCGACCCGCCCGGCGGCGCCGGTTCTTCTTGCAGAGGGTGTAGAAGTTGGGCTTGTCCCGGGAGCAGAGCTTGAGTCGGATCTTGAGGTCTGACGAGGTCTCTCCCAAGTTCTCCTTGCCCGGTGTGTAGTTGTCCAGCAGGTCCTTGACATGGGTCACCTGGTGCTTGGAGAGCTGTGTGGATGTCCTGAAGCTCATGTCACACTGAGGGCAGGCGTAGAACTTATCGCCGCCATGACTCTCCAAGATGGCCGCCGACGCCACGTGCTGCTGCTGCTGCTGATGCTGCCTCTGCTGCCTCTTGGGCTTCTTGTTCTTGCTGCCGGCCTTTAGCGAGTGGCGCAGGGCGGCCATGTTGGGACCGAGGGCGACGTCTTTGACGTCTTTAGGGAGGCCCCTCCCCTTCTTGTGGATGAGGCGGTGACGCGACAGACTGGAGCTGTGGTTGAACTCTTTACCACAGATGTTACAGGGATGGATCCTCCTTTTACCGTGCAGCCGCAGGTGACTCCCCAACATCCTGCAATGAAGAGACACGCAATCAATGAGGAGACATGAAGAGACAGGTAATCAATGAAGAGACACGAAGAGACACGTAATCAATGAAGAGACACGTAATCAATAAAGAGACACGTAATCAACGAAGAGACACGTAATCAACGAAGAGACACAAAGAAACAGGTAATCAATGAAGAGACACGTAATCAATGAAGAGACACGAAGAGACAGGTAATCAATGAAGAGACGTAATCAACGAAGAGACACGTAATCAACAAAGAGACACGTAATCAACAAAGAGACACGTAATCAATGAAGCGACACGAAGAGACAGGTAATCAATGAAGAGACACGTAATCAATGAAGCGACACGAAGAGACAGGTAATCAACGAAGAGACAGGTAATCAATGAAGAGACAGGTAATCAATGAAGAGACAGGTAATCAATAAAGAGACACGTAATCAATGAAGAGACACGAAGAGACACATAATCAATGAAGAGACAGGCAATCAATGTAGAGACACATAATTAATGAAGGACACGAAGACAAACAGAATCAATGAAGGACACGAAGAGAAACAGAATCAATGAAGGACACGAAGAGAAACAGAATCAATGGACACGAAGAGAAACAGAATCAATGAAGGACACGAAGAGAAACAGAATCAATGAAGGACACGAAGAGAAACAGAATCAATGAAGGACATGAAGAGAATCAGAATCAATGAAGGACATGAAGAGAATCAGAATCAATGTAGGACACGAAGAGAATCAGAATCAATGGACATGAAGAGAAACAGAATCAATGAAGGACACAAAGAGAATCAATGAGGACCGTTACCTGCTGCCTTTGAAGCTCATCCCACAGTGGGGGCAGGTGTAGCGGGCCTCCTGGTGGGGGGGCTCCAGGGCCCTCTTGGCGGGCGGCATCGGGCCCCCGGTGGTCTTGCCGCTGTGCGTCTGCTGGTGCCGGTACAGACTGGAGGCGTGGCTGTAGCTCTTCCCACAGTAGCTGCAGCGGTACTGACGCTCGTCCGGCTCAAAGTCGGCCAGGTCCGAGTCTACCTCTCCATCTGTCCGGCTAACGCCTGCCTCCACCGGTGCCTCCTCCTCCTCGGTGTCCTCCTCCTCCTCTTCGTCCTCCTCGTCATCAGAGTCTGTCTTGATCTCCACGCTCTGCTCCGTCACCTCACAGGGGAACACCTCCTCGTAGGGAGCGAAGAAGGACTCCTCCGTCTCCACCTTCAGCTGCTCCGTCAGGTCCGCCGGGTCGTCCGAGTCCTTCTTCACGCAGGAGATGGTGAACTTAGAGCCGACCTCGGCCCACTTCACCACGTACTCGATGGGCTGAGTGTCCAACTCCACCGTGATGAAGTCTGCTCCCAGAGCATCAGACTCTGAGACCGGGTCCTCCATCCTAGACCTAAACCAGGGGAGGGGAGGAGCTACAGCTCTGTAAGGGAGGGAGGAGCTACAGCTCTGTAGGGGAGGAGGAGCTACAGCTCTGTAGAGGGGGAGGAGCTAAAGCTCTGTAAGGGAGGGAGGAGCTACAGCTCTGTGTGGGTGGGAGGGGCTACAGCTCTTTAGAGGGGGGAGGGGCTACAGCTCTATAAGTGGGGAGGGGCTACAGCTCTGTAGAGGGGGAGGGGCTACAGCTCTGTAAGTGGGGAGGAGCTACAGCCCTGTAAGTGGGGAGGAGCTACAGCCTTGTGGGGGGGGAGGAGGAAGAAGGGGAGAAGTTAGATGTGACAGAATACACACATCATTGTTGTTATTATCATAATATAACATGTAATGTAGAATTTATTTAATATGAATATAAAACAATAAAATAATAAACCTTCATGACATATACATACACATATATATATATATTATCAGTATAATTTAAATGAACAAACAATAATCACGTGATAGTAAACAAAGAGCAGATCTGAGGTCAGTTTGACCCGATGATGTCATTAATAAACACAGGTGACCTCTGACCTCCTAACACTTTAATAATATTATTATTTATATAATATATTAAAATTGTTATAATATTATTAATATTAAATCTGATCATCACGGACGTTAAGAGACGTTTTCATTCATTATGTTGGACTGAACCGGACTACGTCCATAAATCAGTGGTTTTAAGAGAGAGAGCTTCACTATGCACTGAACCTCTCTCTCTCTCTTTAGTCAAGACCGACTCTAATGAATCCGTTATTATTTAATCACACTCATGATCAACATGTTATTATTGAATCACATATGATCAACATGTTATTATTTAAACATTTAGACAGGTTCTCTCTTCTCTCCGGATTACGACCACAGACTGTCGCGCGGAGGGCGGTTACTGGCAGCGCATCCATTTTATTAACGAGGACATTTCCTCTTAACTTACATCTGATTCTGTTTATCTGAAAGCCGAACTCATCACAACATCCGTTAGTTACGTTTAATAACGTAAAACGTTTAAAAACGTGTTTCCCGTTGGTCGTAAAGCGAGGAGGAGTTAAATAGAGCCGTATGTGAGCGGAGTGTCGGGGCCGTGATGAGGAAGCGGAGGGATCTTCTCCTCCCTGAACGTAAACTGTCAAAATAAAAGAGCGAGCGGCGGAATAAACGACGGTAACCGGATTCCGCGGTCAAACGAGTCGTGATTCGGTTACTCACCGAGCTTTAGACGGAGACACGGAGACATAAACGGTAATGTTTTAACCGGTGGAGACGGTCACAATAAACAGGAAGCAGCGGACACAAAGCATTGTGGGAAAAGGATTAAATGGCTGCGAAGAAACGGAAGTACGGTAGATTGTCCTTCAAAATAAAACCACAGTGAAAATAACAGAATGAAGAACGAATAAATAATAAAATTAAAATTAAAATAATAGTTTAATAACATAAATAATACAGTAAAATAAAAATAAAAATAGTTTAATAATATAAATAATACAGTAAATTAAAAATAAAAATAGTTTAATAATATAAATAATACAGTAAAATAAAAATAAAAATAGTTTAATAATATAAATAATACAGTAAAATATAAATAAAAATAGTTTAATAATATAAATAATACAGTAAAATAAAGAGATGGAGAGGAAGAGGAGGTGATGAAGAAAAGGAGAAGAGGATGAAGGAGGAGGCCTCAGTATTTACTGCTGCTCCTCTTCATCACCACCTCCTGCTCTTCACACGACGGGTCTGTGTCTGTGACTCCACACACACGCACGCGCACGCACACGCACAGACACAGACACCCACACCCACACACACACATACCCACACACCTCGCTCCCGTTATTATACCGGTGAAATGACGGTGGTCTCGGTACCTTACTAAACCCGGATCAGTCCGCTTCGGTTCGGTTCTGGATGAGAACGAGTCTCCGGAGCTTCAGTCGCATCTCAGCCAGAGAGCAGCGGCGGCCTGTCGGCTAGCTACCGCTGCTGCGATGTCCTGCTGGAGCGGCACGGAGCGGCAGAGAGCGGCAGGTCGCCCAGCAGAGTTGATGGGACGTCGCGGCTCAGAGGCGGCACGCGGCGGACCGTCCGGAGCCTCTCCAGACGATGATTGGTCGAGCTGCTGCGCAGCCTGCTCGTTGCATCGAATCTGATTGGCTGGCCGGCTGAAAACCCGCAAAACGTGTGCCGACAAACGTCTTGAGGTGTCGTGAAGCGTCACGAGGCTTCAGTATGTCCATCCGACGGATTCTACCGAACACAGCTGATGTTTTGACGGTTGTGTGTGTTTTTAACCTGTTTATCATCAGCTGGTTCCTCTCCGAGCTGCTTCTGTGAAGAATAAACGTTTTCTGAAAAGCAGGTTGAACTCCATTAAAGAATCTCTGGTTTTTAGTTTCTCTTTCTTCTTTTATCTCCTCTGAACACAACTAAGGATCCAATGATACACGGTCCACAAAGGCTTCTGGTCAAAGTAACTCAAAACTTATGATTTAATATGACAGAGTTCACATGTTTTAATAGTTAAGTCAGTGTTGTCTGGTGGAGCCGATAGAAACAAGATATCTGGTGATGATCCTGACTCAAGGGTCCCTTGCTAGCTTTATAAGGAGCTTTCAGCTTCATGGTGTGATCACAAACATTCAGTTTAAACTCCAGGCTAGACTCCAGACTAGACTTCAGACTAGACTCCAGACTAGACTCAAGGCTAGACTTCAGACTAGACTCCAGACTAGACTCCAGACTAGACTCCAGGCTAGACTTCAGACTAGACTCCAGACTAGACTCCAGACTAGACTCAAGGCTAGACTTCAGACTAGACTACAGACTAGACTTCAGACTCGACTACAGGCTAGAATTCAGACTAGACTCCAAGCTAGACTCCAGACTAGACTTCAGACTAGACTACAGGCTAGACTTCAGACTAGACTCCAAGCTAGACTCCAGACTAGACTCCAGACTAGACTTTCCCCTTTCTACCTGTAACTACAGACCATTCAGTATCCTGCCAACAATATCAAAAGTTGCAGAGAAGTTGGTAGCTGAGCAAATGATCTGCCGTTTGAATACCAGTTCTTTTGCCCTTCATTCAATGCAATTCGGCTTCAGAGCCAATTATTCTAGTGAGACAGCACCTGTTTCTTCACAGAAAAAAATCTAATTTCTATTGGACAAAGGGGGAGTTGTTGGAGTTGTGTTTCTTGATCTCAAGAAGGCATTTGACACTGTTAACCATCGCATTCTTTTGTCCAAGTTGCCCAGCTACAATTTCTCCTCAGGTACACTTAAATGGATTGAATCGTATTTGCTAAATAGATCACAGTATGTCCAAATACAGAACTATCAATCTACCGCCCTCCACTTGTCCACAGGCGTCCCACAAGGATCTGTCCTGGGCCCACTACTGTTCTCTTTATATATCAATGATCTGCCATCAGCATGCCCTGACACCAACATCCAAATGTATGCAGATGACACTGTGATTTACTTGCATGGTAGCAAAATGGGACAAGTGGCAAATGAACTCACTAACTCCATGGTTCATGTAACTGCATGGTTAAAGCAATGCTGTTTACAACTAAACATATCCAAAACAGTGTGTATGTTTTTTACCAAAACAAACTGGTAGTGTAGAGCCGGATGTTTGTGTATCTGGGGAGAGGCTACGGGTTGTACCTGACTACAAGTATCTCGGAGTACTTTTTGATTCCAAATTATCATTCAAATCTCAGGTGAAAAAGTCTGTAACCGTCACCGTCGTTCACTCTTGTCTCACACACACACACGCACGCGCGCGATCGTCTCGTCACAGGATCAAACGTGACTGTTGCGAAGTGGCGCTTATTTTTTTTGACAAATGTTTTTATTGTCTTTTCCACAAAACACAAACACAAGACAGAACAAGGCACATCAAAAGGTACACATGGGCACTTGGAGATATTTCAAATAAAGATATCAATGGCATGTGTTGTTGTTGGGCGTTACTGACAAATAACAGTAGAGGGTGACAGATATGTACATGCACAGATAGATAGATATTATACCCCACAAATAGAATGCTCCCACATCCCCTAATGTGACCAATGAGAGAAGAAGGAAACAAAAACGTGGAAGGGAAACAAAAAGGAAAACGGTAGACTACAGGGTTACAACAAGATCTCCCTCCAGAAACTCCATGAATGAGCCCAAATCTTTGCAAAGATGATATATTTCCCTTTAACTACATATGTAAGTTCCCCCCTGGTGAGCTGCATGGACTCAGAGCCCTCCTCTTCAAAGGGCTCTGCCACCACCGACACCATGACTGCCCTCCCCCCCTCTCTGTGACGACTGACCAGGTGAGAAGACAGCTGGAGCGACTCCATCAAGGAAAGGCTGCGGGACCTGATGCCATGAGCCCCAGGGTCCTGAAGACCTGCGCCATCCAGCTGTCTAATGTCCTTCAACACCTCTTCAACCTGAGCCTGAAGCAGGAAGAAGTCCCGGTGCTGTGGAAGACGTCGTGCCTGGTTCCCATACCAAAGAAGACGACACCATCTGGCCTCAATGACTACCGACCAGTTGCCCTCACATCCCATGTGATGAAGGTGCTGGAGAGGCTGGTCTTGGCCCACCTCCGACCGCAGGTGAAATCCTCACTGGACCCTCTGCAATTTGCATATCAGCCTCATGTGGGGGTGGGCGACGCCATCATCTACCTGCTGCAACGAGCTCAATCGCACCTGGATGAACCGGTGACTTGTGGAGGCTTGAATTCTACCCCACAGAGAGAAGGCCGCAGCTCACGCTCCAACTGCTGTTTACAGTAGAGACGCTGCGATAATAAAATCTACCATAAACTGGTTTACAATCAAAAAGTATTTAATCCTACTGAATCTAATACAATTACACAATGAAGCACATTAATTACAGTATCTATAGATATATATTCTCTGCGCAGAAAAGCATTTTACCCTGATCCCAGTAGAAGCACAGCTGCCCTCCCGATGAGACCAGAGGAAAGAGAGCAAATTCTTTCCCAGCACTTCCATTTACAGTTTGAAATTCCCTCCCCTTTTGTCCATCTTAATTCCTATTGGCTAATCTCGACTGCCTCCTCCTGGCTTCAGGCTGCCGAAAAACCCTCGCGCGGGTACAGTCTGCAAATATCTGTCTAGAAATCCCTGACTTTCCCTTGGCTATTCTTTACAGTTTAATACATTCAATGACTGTCTTTTATGGTTTAACACTTCTATGATAAACATTGGATTCTACATAAAGATAAAGATTTGCAACTTTTGGCAAAAACTTCACAAGTTTCTACAAATTCTACTAAGATACACTTCTAACTACAAATTCTATAATTTCTTAAAGCACAGTTCTAAACCTAAATTTCCTACAGACTCTGTGAGAATCACTTTCTTTGATTTCTCCAGTGCATTCAACACCATCGGGTTAACGCCTCCACCGTCACCTGGATCACTGACTACCTCACAGGCAGACCACAGCTTGTCCAACTGGGCCGTGTGCTGTCTGATATGGTGGTCAGTGATACTGGAGCCCCACAGGGAACTGTTCTGTCTCCCTTCCTGTTCACCTTGTACACCACTGACTTCCAGTACAACTCAGGGTCATACCATCTGCAGAAGTTCTCTGATGACTCTGCAGTGGTCGGGTGTATAAGGGACAGAACAGGGTCGGGTGTTGTAGAGTGGGCCAGTAGAAATCACCTGCGTCTGAACGGGGCCAAGACCAGAGAGATGGTGGTTGACTTCAGGAGGAAGATGACGGCTCCACAACCGGTGAGAGTTCTGGGAGAGGATGTGGACATGGTGGAGGAGTACTAGTACCTGGATGTCTCCATCGACAACAAACTGAACTGGAAGGCCAACATCAACGCTGTGTACAAGAAGGGGAAGAGTCGACTCTTTTTCTTGAGGAATCTTCGATCCTTCAACGTGTGCAGCAAGATGTTGGAGATGTTCTATCGGTCTGTTGTGGCCAGTGCACTGTACTTCTGTAGTCTGCTGGGGGAGCAGCATTGGAGCCGGAGACACCAACAGACTTAATAAACTGGATAAGAAGGCCGGCTCCATCATTGGCTGCAAACAAGACTATCTGGAAGAGGTGGTGGAGAGGAGGACACTGAAGAAACTATTATCCATATTGGATAACCCGGACCACCCTCTCCACCACCTACTGCAGGGACAGCGGAGCACTTTCTCCAACAGACTGATTCAGCTCCGCTGTCACAAGGACCGATACAGGAGAACATTCCTGCCCTCTGCCATTAGACTCTATAATAAATCACCTCTGGCCAAATCAAACACAAGACTATAACACTGCTACACTGTTGTTGCTGCTGCTGGTGATCTTGTGCAGTTTATTTTTTCCTACTCAGTTAATTTAATACGATTCTATTTAGTGTATATACTGTGCATTTTTATTACTTTATTTTCTTAAATTTAATAGGTCCTGCTCTGTTATTTTATTATATTGTATATATTGTGCATATTCCATACTTAATATTTCTATTTTATTGTGTAACCCTGTTTGCTGCTGCCACAGACAAATTTCCCCTGGGGTATGAATAAAGTATATTTCTATTCTATTCTATTCTATTCTATTCTCTAGGGCAAGGCACTGCATCAGTCCCTCTATCCAATTTAGTTTGCTCGGCCTGTGAACACATTTCCAAGCCATTGCAATTTTATGTTTAGCTTCAAGAAGACAAAATATGACCATCTTCTTTTTGCTGTTGTTAAGTGTTCAGTTTACTGGGAAACACACAAAAAGACTTTTGGACATAATGAAGTGGAGCTTCTCGTGAGGACCAAGACACGTCTTGTTTGAACGGAACACTTCACTGTACTTCACTTCACTGCAGTTCACTGTCTGAACTGCAGTATTACATTCTTACAGTGAACACAATGCACTCTTGCACCCGACATGTGGTTTTCTAGTATCATCAACATTGTTGGCATCAAGAACATGTACCATTCTACTTCCTGTCTCTTCAAAGTAAAAGCACCTCCGTTTTCATGCTCTTCACAATAAAAGTAAATCATGCAATCAAACAATTTACAACATTGACAATATTAAAATACATATTGTCGAGTTTTTAAAGTGTTTTGTTTGTAATATGTATAATAAGCATCATTTAGTATCACTACTGAGAATTTAACAAACAAAAACATGACGTAGATAGGTTTGCAGTTTTCAAAGTGTATATTTCGAATGTCATCTCTTACACACATGAAGATAAAGATGTGAACACCGGCTGAATATCTATGATCAGAATCATAACTGTGTTATAACTGCTGCTGTGTAAAGGGAATACTGCTGCTAACAAGAACCTGATGTGTTTAAACCAAATGTTATTGACCTTTAGTTCATATAGCAGTACTTTAAAATAAAAGTGCACAATACACTACTTTTGAATTCATTATTGAACTTTGCGCATAACGAGATTAATCGCCAAAAAAATCATGCGATTAATCACAATTAAAAATTGTAATCGTTGCCCAGCACTAAAAAAATATATAACTTGTTTAGTTGGGAAAACATGATTAAATATCTGAATGTTGGATATCGGCTCACAAGAGGAGCAGCAAGAGGGGATTGCATTATCCCACTCAGGAAAAGTGCTTTCAGTCAGTCTGCATTTTCAGTACAAGCTGCACTACAATGGAACTCCATCCTAGTGACCATTAGAACTACAAACATACAGGTAATTTAAAGCTCAATGGTGAGTTAGTACCCAGCTCTGTCAGCACTAGAATGTAACCGCACCTCTGTCTGTGTTGAACTTTCCCTCAATCTGTCTGCTGTCACCCGTCTTGTCTGCTGTCACCCGTCTGTCTTGAATTTGCCGGTCGACCCTCATCTACCTGCATGCATGTCTCTTATTGTTGCTAGCTGTGTCTGACTGATTTATGTATTTCACACACTCTGCATGCTTTTGTTTTGTGCCTGACGTGGATGTTTTTTAGTGTCTAACAATTGCATCATAATATTGTCTTTAGTCCATGTTTCTATTTTAACAGTCATCCCTCATTTTATTTTCGTTGTGTTGACTTTGAGAGCCTCTGTGTTGTCTTGTTAGTACTTGACAATGTATAAGAGTCTCCTGAGTGATGATACTACGTATATTCTCACTTTTTTCTATCGTTTCTGCACACTTTGTAAAGCGTCAATATTGTATAACCTTTTAAATTTAATCTTACATTGTTTTTAGGTTTATTTTGTAACATCTGCCTCTTGGGACTACAGATGAAAAATAGCCTTTTGGCTTTAACTCTGGCGCATTTACAGAAATGTCTTTATTAATGTGCACTGTCCCTTATTAAATAAACCAATTTAAAAAAAAAAAAAAAAAAAGACTTCAGACTAGACTCCAGGCTAGACTACAGACTAGACTTACTTTAGTACTTGAGGAAAAGATCTGAGTACTTCTTTATATTTCCTCTGATGGCTCGTATCAGATCTGATTTACAGGTGAGATTCACCTGCAGCTGCTCTGGAAAATTTCAGAATAAAATCCCTTCAGGTTAAACTGGAATATTTCAGAATAAAATCCCCTGAGTTAAACAGGAAACTTTCAGAATAAAATCCTCAGTTAAACTGGAACCTTTCAGAATAAAATTCCCTCAGGTAAAGTTAAAGTGATGTCACAGACACAGTGATGATGTCAGCATGTTTTATTACTGTAAAGAATCACAGAGTATTGATGACATCACAGCTATATATATTAACCACGCCCCCTCAGCTTCAATAAAAAGCACCAATCACTGCTGACTGCAGAGTCATGTGACCTGACAAACTGCAGCATGCTTACCCCAGAAACATTCTGGGTAACAAGGTTACTTGATTCTGTATATATTAGCAATCTGCTTAATGCCCAGAACTGAGTCTTCCAGGTGTTACGACGAGCTCCACCAATCAAATCCTTCAGATAAGAGACGGTCGATGTATGCCTGCAAGACTCAACTCAGGGTATGAAATACAGGTTAAAAAGTCCAGGATCTTTTAATTTGAAAGATCAAACAGCTGTGAGTTTCCTTTACACATTTCCTTTAAATGAGTTTTAAAATAATAAATCTATCGATATACGTATTGATTCATTTTTGAGTTATTCAGATTTTATCCACTAGTGAAACACTACTGAGCATGTGCAGACCGGACAGGAAGAAGATCTGAGCTCAGCAGCTTCACAGGAAACAACAGAAAAAGAAAAGCAACATTCCACTAAATTAAAGAAATCGTTGAAATCATAAAAACAAAGGCTACTTCATGAAAAAAGTCAACTCCGCCCACCACCTGTTTAGCCCCACCCCATACAGGCCCCGCCCCCTCTCCTGTCAGGATCACCTGTTGATTAATCAACAGGTGATCAGATCAATAACTATTAATCAATCAATCAATTGGGAACTCTTTGATAATCAATTAATGGATTAATATTCTGTGATGAGGACGTTTCATAAACTAATCAAAGATCATAAACATTAAAATATGTTTTCTGATGAAGACAGTGAGACGCAGCTGAAAGCTCTGGAGCTCTTGAGTCTCACTGAATCATATTGATCAGTGGGTTCTTGATCCTGATTGGAGGAGAGCTCAGTGATGTCACAGGAAAGAAGGAGTCCATGATTTGACTGTTGTAGTTCGTGTTCGCTGATCAGCGTTAAAGAAGAAGAAGAAGAAGAAGAAGCATCATCGTCGTCACATCTGGAAGAAAACAGACTGGTCTTAAAGGAACAGTACTACCTCACCACCCGACTGACATTAAAGAAGTGAACTCACCTGTTCAGGAGCTTTGAACAGCCACTTCTCTTTGTCTCCGCCCACTTTCATACAGGTGAACAGGTCACAGACGGACGGCAGCGCCAGGAGCTGAAACATTGAACACATCACACAATGCTGTCGGGACACGTCCGTACTGGTCTCAGTCGGTCCGTAGTGATCTGTACTGGTCTTAGTTACCTGAGCCTGACTCCTCTTCCTCAGCAGCCATTTGTCCTCCTCTGCTACTGGGAGGGTCTGACCTCCTGACCCCGGAGTCTGTCCTGGAAGCACCCAGAGACCAGGATCCAGAGGGCAAAGGAAAGGAGATGAGATCTGGTCTCTGTGGTCCTCCCTGCTGGCCTTCTCCTCCTCAGGAGCCCAGCCAGAGAGGGACGAGGTGTCGGTGGGGTGGAGCCAGGCCTCCAGGATGGCCTGAACCTGAAGAAACACCAGAAACCTGTCACGTTAGAGACCCGATCGGCATCCCGTCACTTTACGGACCCAATCGGCATCCCGTCACCTTAAAGACCCGATCGGCATCCCGTCACCTTAAAGACCCGATCGGCATCCCGTCACCTTAAAGACCCGATCGGCATCCCGCCACCTTAAAGACCCGATGAATCATCAATGAAATCATTGATTAAAAGGATGAAAGAACAAATCACCTTTTGGTCCTGCTCTCTGCGGTGCAGGGTTGGCGGGGCGTCCTTGGCGATGGGCATGACTCCGTTAGATGTAGGCGGGGCTCCTACAGGGACCCCGTTCTTGTCCCTCCCGTCCTGGTGGAGCAGCCAGAGGTTCAGAGCTCCTCTCCCACAGTTCTCCTCACAGACGCAGTCGGAGAACGAGGAGCAGACCTCGTTGGCTCTGCAGGTCTGCTGCACCGGCACCGCCTGCTGAAGCCATGCCTCCAGGGCCACGGGGGGGGAAGTGGCGGTGGAAGTAGGCGGGGCCTTCAGGCACTTGAGCCAGCCCAGGTTCTCTATCTCCAGGGCCTCAGTGGTCTGGCAGCAGGAGGAGCAGTCATCGGCGGGGGGGCGTCTGGACCCCGTCAGCCAATCACTGGAGGACCAGACGTCATCGAACGGCTTCAACACCCGACGCCACCGCTCTGCGTCTGACATGGTATCGGTGGGGGGGGTGATGAGCCAGTCACTCAGCTCCTCCTCCTCCTCCTCCTCCTCCTCAGGACCGACGGTGAACTCTGATTCGTCGATCTTCTCGATGGAGAAGGAGGAGCTGCAGCTGCTGACGGTGCGCTCCCTGCTGACGGGGGTCTCGACCTGGTCCTGAAGGATCCAGAACTCCAGGTCCCTGATCTGACCCCAGGCCTGCAGGAAGTCCTCAGAGACCAGGACGGGACAGGAAGTCTGGCACAAACACACAGGAAGTCAGTTAGAACTCTCTGGGTTCACTTCCCGTCGATGACATCATGGGTCGGTTCATGGTTCATATATTTATAGCAATAAAGTATTAAAGAACTACAGGAGGTCGTCTCTCTCTCTCTCACCTTTCTGTCCTCGGGTGTCAGCCAATCCTGAGGCTTGTTGCTGGACTGGTAACAAATAGGAGCGCTGCTTGAAGGAGGAGTTCCCATCAGCCAGTCGCTTAGAGATCCGACCTCCATCTTCTGATCAGAGACACAAACAACAACGATGATGTCACTTTTCTGCTAATTAAAAACATGTCTCATGAGTCATAATGATGTTTAATATTATTAAATCATGTTAAACTGATGATATAATAAGGTTATAATGCTTCATTGATGTTATACGTTACCTGTTTCTTGGCAGCTATTGGACAGTTCTGAGAGGACACACCCTCCACCAGCTGTAAACAGGAAGTACAGAAAACCCCTGATCATCATCATCACGTCCACAGACAAAACCTGTGTGTACCTCTATATTTGTACAGCTATCTTTGTGAGGACCAATGGAAGGTGTAGACCAGGGGTGTCAAACTCAGCTTCACTCTGGGCCACATCAGAATCATGGTTCCCCTCAAAGGGCCGGTTGTAACTGTAAGACTGTATAATAGTGCTGGGTGGTACGACCAAACATGTGTTTCACGGTATTTTTTAAGATTCTGCCGGTTTCACGGTATATCACGGTATTGTTTTTCTATATGTTTATAGAGGCTCACTCTACTGTCAGGAGTACATAGAATATAAAACATGTTAATGTCTTCATGTATGAATTCTTTGCTTACTAGAGGGGGTGCTCGTTTGTTCCTCTAATGTTGGGATAGCAGTCTGGCTGAAGTATTGTGGCCCCGGTCAGACGTACCTTGAATCCAGTGTTTTAATCATTGCTCTGAGTCTTTCTCGACTGTCTGTAGTGGGACCAGGTCCCCGTTCCTCGTACGTGGTTCAGCTAAGTCGATCAAATGTCCCATTAGCAGCTTAAATTAACCCGATGATTGAAGTCAGGCTATCTCGGTTTCTCCAAGGCTGATCCTCTCAAACAGTCTCGTTTGTCTAACCCGCTGCGAGGGCTAGACAAGAAGCACGCAAAATATCACAGACAAGTTAAATGCGTAAGTGTTGTAAATGTATCGGCTCATTTTAATGCCTCATCACCCCAATCAATCAGATGATATGTCTTTAAATGAGCTGCTGGCAGTAGGCTTAATGAATGCATCATCCAATGAGATCTATAGCGACAATAATGATCTCAACTCTTTCACAATAAGATAAAAACAAGCCCAAAGAGCATCTACTGATCCTCATTAATATGAGGATATATGTACTGTATGCCCTCATGTATCATGTACTATATATGTGTATATACATGTATGTGTAGATCACCATACAGAACTAGCAGTTTGAATATGTGTGTGTGAATCTGTGTGTGGGCGGATCAGTGTGTGTGTGTGTATTATTCATCATCAGACATTCAATCAACTGAAGCAGTGAAGATAAATAGTGTGTGATTCTCTCTGTTCTTATCATGAGTCCACCTTCATCATGTTCTACAGTAATGATATGCTGGTGTACTAATAACACTGTCATATCATTATGAGTGCTTTAACCCTCATGTATGCAACGCAGCCATCAAGAGGACATGGGAGCAAGTAAACACTAACACACACACATTACTCAGAATGCTGAGTCAGTACAATATGTGCCATGGTGATGTAATGAACACATCCATAAGTTTATTAAGCGCCAAATAAACTTTACCAACAGCACGGCATGCAGCGGCTTTCCCCATGTTCTCCGCGTCGCCGACACTGTACAACAATGTACCACTCGCAGAACAGCTGCAGCGTGTGGTGTTCAATGTATGCTCCAGAAGGTCTGTAAATAAATGATTCCTTGTGGGCAGAATGGATAGCGCTCGTATAGGAAGTCATCGTGATGTGATAACGGATCTTGGCGATGTGGAAGAACTCTCTCCCTATAAAACGCTAATCTAACTAATATCCTCCTTCATCAGTGGATCTCTGAGGAAGGGAGCTGTACATTAATGCAATAGAGGCTTCTTAGTTTGCTCAGCTGCTTTAATGGATCACCGTGTGTCTCACTTTACATGCATTTTCGGAACTCCCGTATAACCCCCGGTATATGCGCAAGCGCATTAGACTACCGTATATGACAGGAGCTGCCATGTTTTCCGGGGGACTGGCAGCTTATCCAGCTACCTTCAGTTAGCCTGCGCTGGAGCAGCTTCAAGCTTATGGATGTGTTACCATGGTGATTTTGCCAAACTTGCTTCGTGGAATCGAAAAGCCTGATCTACGTCATCTTATCCTGAAAAGTATCCGGCTAACTCAGTTAGCCACGTACGAGGAACGGGGCGCAGGTCCTTGCAGAGCTGGATCCTTATTGTGTTCGTAATGTCGCTCCACCGCTTGCTTGTCATATGCAGCCTCGAGCTAATGCCTCTTCAAGCGATGTCTGACCCTTTAGCTTCACTGTTTCACTCGCGCCAACGTTACTGGTTGACGGCCGTCTTCACACTCTTGGTATTCCAACTCATGTTTTCTGCTGAGGTGATGGAGTAAGTTGCTCGTGTTACCACCTGTGGCAACAACAGTGGCTCGATAAACTTTGCAATATATAGTCTTTTGGTCTACGTCGGATATTCAAACACTTCCAAACAGCAGATCGGTGCATCTCCGGTCTGTCTTTGTTCCTCCTGCATCGCTCTGTTCTGTTCTTTAATGTAACATTACTGTAGCGACGGAGCCTCTCCCAGCTGTTAGCAGACTGTTGTGCTAGCGGGCTAGCTAGCTAGCTGTACCCAGCATGCCGGTCGGCGGTGTAATTTTATAAATGTACAATTATTAGTGTTACAAATTGTTTGCGTGTCACAAACTGTTGTGTCGTGGTGTTTTGTTGTTACAGAGCGTTAGTTGTAGGTTATTAGTTGTTATACAGTTATAACCATGACTAGGGTTCCCTCTCAACACACTTAAGACAACTAGCTCCCACCGTAGCGCTCATAGCGGCCAACAATATATTCTGCTGCCTGTTGAAGAGCGACAGCAGTTGTTTCTGTGCACCGGTATGACGGTGTGTGAAAAATTAATATCATACGGGAAATTAAAACCGGTATACCGGTTGGCCCAGCACTAGTGTATAACTGTAACTACTCCTAACATATTGTTAAAGAACTGTCTCTGCATTTCTGCATTTGATTATCGTTTATTCAAGTGTAAATATATTGTACATGCAGTTATATTAATGTAGGGTAACCTGCCAAAGAGCTGCTTCTATGACTGTTGTGTTTAAGTATCTCATCATTATGACTTCTTTGTTTTTAAACTTTTTTTTTTTTTTTGTTGCTGATGGATGGAAATGATGTGGGCCTCGAGTTTGACACCCCTGGTGTAGACCTTCAGAGTGAGGACATGTGTGTGAGAGTGTGTGTGACTGTGTGTGTATGTGTGTGAGAGAGTGTGTGTGTGTGTGTGTGTTACCTGAGCCGTGATGCGGCCGAACGAGGTGATGGCCTCCCTCAGAGAGCGAGCGTCGGCATGGAAACTCATCTCAGGTGTTTCCTCAGGTGTCAGACTCAGAGAGGACAACCTGCACACAGTTCATCATCATCTTCATGTGTATGAACACACATATATACAGATCAATGAATAGATCATCAGAGATGTGATCAGTTCCTCAGACCCCAGACCACCACTTAGGGACCCCAGACGACCGCACGAGAGTTTCAAATACACAGCGTCAGAATGAGTCAAATGAAGCGGCTGTCGGCCACGAGGACAAGAGAAACATGTCAAACACAGAGTCCACGTTCCGGCTGTGAGTGGACGTCTGAACCTGGTCTGCAGGTCTACGAGGACGTGGACTTACTTCTCCAGGCAGCCGGTCAGCTGGCTGTTCAGGTCGTTGCTGCTGTTGGAGTTCTGCAGCTGATGGACGATCACATCAAACTGTCCTCTGAGCTGGAAAACAAACACCCAGTAAACACCAGACTACCAGCAGCAGAGACCGGCAGAGACCAGAAAGCAGTGGTTACCCAATGCAGACGGTGCAGCTGCTGCTGCAGAGTCTCAGTCTTGACTTGTTCCAGCAGCTCGATCTGTCCCAGCAGCCAAACCTCTCGACAGCGAAGAGCCTCCTGCTGACGACTCACACTGCTCTGGAGATCACAGCGCACCTGTTCTCAGGAGACACACAGGGGTGAGACACAGGGGAGAGACGCACAGGTGAGAGACGAGTGAGACACAGGGGAGAGACGCACAGGTGAGAGACGAGTGAGATACAGGGGAGACGCGCACAGGTGAGAGACGAGTGAAACACGAGTGACACACAGGGGAGAGACGCACGGGTGAGACACAGGGGAGAGACGGGTGAGACACACGGGAGAGACGCACAGGGGAGAGACGGGTGAGAGACGCACAGGTGAGAGATTAACATGATTAAATCCTTCCAGGGCTTTGTTCTGGTCCTCCACTAATCTATCAACGAATCGTCACACTGAGCCTCAACATGGAGGAGCCTTTACCTGGAGAAGAGTTCAGCAGAGTCCACTAGACTACAGCAGAGTCCAGCAGATGAGACGGTTCTCAGACTGTCAGTTAAATTAACTCAACTCTTTTATATGGTCTCTCTCTCCCTCCCCCTCTCTCTCTGAGTCAGCAAGACTGTGTGATGAGGTCTTAGTCTTAAAGGGACAGTAGTGATGTTTACAGCTAGTAGTAGACCACGTAGTCTACTACTACTACTAAGTAGGGTACTGTGTACAAGTACACACTGTACTACACAGGTAGTTGTACTAGTTCACTACCTGCTAGTAAGTCTTCTTCAATACAGCATGATGTCCATTTAGTAACTTATGGTCCATTTAGACTCAAACAGATCATAGAGCAGGGGACGCTTTAGGGCGGGGCTACACAGTGATTGACAGGTCTCTCTAACCTCTCTGGTGTTTTCTCTCAGCTGTCGCTCCGCCTTCATGACGCCGTTGATGGCGTCCTCCAGCTGATCCTGAGCCAGTCGGCACTGCTTCAGTCCGCCCAATGCTGCCGCCTCCGCCATCCTGGACAGGAAACACACCGTCAAAACAGAACAGGGCCGACTGGATGTGGACTGAAGTTAGACCTTCCAGGACGTGATAAGAAGCTGCAGTTTGTGGTTTAGTTCCTCTTCACTAACGTCTCTCCGTCCTCGTCCTTCACTTCTGCTTTTATTTAACATCTCTGATCTCCGATAATGTTACTTTGTAAACAATGGAGGTTCACTTACATTATGATGCCTTCAGGATCTGCTCGGTGAACATGAGTACTGGCTGAAGGTACATTATAATTTTTTTTTTTTTTTTTTGAAATTGTATTTATTATTATACTATATTCATCCCGGAAGGGGAAATTTGTCTCTGGATTTGACCCCTCCCTGTATATAGGGCGCAGTGGGCTGCCCATGACAGGTGCCCGGGGAGCCGTTAAGGGTCCAGTGTAGAGCTGGATGGTAAACCGGTATACCGGTTTTAATTTCCCGTATGATATAATTTTTCACACACCGTCATACCGGTGCACAGAAACAACTGCTGTC